ATTATTATATTTCCGATATAATACTGATAATGCAGTTTTAAATATTGGCAGATAAAATATCAACCTGAAACAATATTAGTTTTGTATTAATCATTCATGCTTTTATTACTTGTTTTGCTAATGTGGAACATTAGAAAAAGGCTTAATCAAATAATTTTACTCAAACAGTAGGTATGAGAATAACTGAGCCACTTATTAACCAATGTCATGTCGCATAAAATTTAAACAGAAGCAGGCAGCAGTGGAGCGTTTCTATCAGTAGGCTAATATCCGTTTTTTGGCTAATATTGGACCAATTTCCATTATCAGTATCTGATTGGACCATCCCTACTAGCCAGCATTAATTACCTATTGAAGTCTGTTCCCAATGCAACGTTTATTTGGAATGTTTAATAATCATTATAGTAGCTATAAAGGAATCCTGAGTTGATCCTGTCAAGTCCAGTGGATATTTTTTGAACGTTTTTGAACTTTTACGGAATGAGTTGATCCTGCCAACATGCCATCACAAATTATTGCAAATTTTTTCTTGTAAATGCTTTTTATTTATACAAGCAGTTGACAATTGGAGCTCTGATCCCGTTTAGAAATCAGTTCCTCAAGTTATGTTCATCTAAGCAATCTCCTGTTGCACAGCTGGGAACTGGCACAGACACGCACAGTTCCTTAGTGGGCAGGTTTCCGTCTTTGTGTTGGAGAATTCAAACCAGCTAATAAGCCGTCCATCAGTATATAGCAGCAGGAATACAGGCAATCTCCACATTCTGCTTGCAGAGCCAAGGCTGCCATCATTGCACAGTTATGCACGTATTTACGCGGCTCTTTATGATCATGTGTAATTGTCTACACCTTGTCCAACGGATTTTATCCCCACATCTGACCTGATTGAAATTAATTTGCTGATTCGCCACCTTTTTTTTTTTTTTTTGCTTGGATCGAAGTTTTGGAACAAGCACGGATTTTATGCTCCTTGGTGTACACACACACACGTGTATTTCCATGACCTAAGCACAGGAATATTTACAGGTTATATCTGACAGGCCATTTCCATCATTTTTTTCCAGGTGTCTTACGCATTTGTTTTAGGCTAAATGTGATTCAGATTCATCACTTAATTTTAAATTATAAAAACTCAAACTCGTGGAAAGGTTTTACTATCTTTAACAATTTTGCTGCTCACTTTAATGAAATGTTCATGTTTATTTCACACTGTGTTTTGCATTAAAGTCTGTGCTGCATGTTCTTTTTTATTGTGCAGACCCACTTTATACATTAGGCCCGTGATGTTTTGTTTTAGTGGCGTTGGATGTAGGAGTTTGCCCTGCAATCGAAGGGTTGATGGTTCCAGCCCCGGCTTTCAGTGTGTTGTCCTTGGGCGAGACACTTTACTTGCATTGCCTACTGATGTGGTGTTCAGAGATCCCGGTGGCGCAAGTGTACCGCAGCCTTGATTCTGTCCCAGGACAGATCTGGCTATAATGTAGTTTGAATGTGTGAATGACTGAATGTATTGTAAAGCGCTTTGTAAAAACACTATACAGGTACAGGCCTTTTACCATTTGAGGCACAGTGGTATAGATTCTCAATTAACCATTCAATGAAGAATAATAAGTGCTTCATCAGAAGGCAGTTCGACCTTGCTTCTAAAAGGTTTCCTCAGTCTTGAATAGTTCTGGTACTCTGGACATGGGTTTGGAGAATCAGAACTTTAACCTGTAGCTGAATGATTCAGCTGCTGGAAGCATTAATCACTGATCCAGTTTTCCGACAGGTCTAACGTTTAGTCGGTGTGACCTCAGGTGGAACAGCCTGATCAGAGACCTTGTTTTAGCAGTTAGTCCTAAGGTGGTCTTATGACTTATAAAAGGCTTATCCAGTCCAAGGACCCCTCGGTCATCATACTTGACAAAACATGATGTAAGTACAGGTCAGGTTAGGATTAGGGCTGAATGAATTGATAGGATCAGTTCTGATTGATTAATTATTAAAACGTGTGAGCTTAGTGAGCCAATAATAGTTAAGTAGAGCAAAATACTAAGAGAACCACCCACTCAGAGCTAAAACACATTTAGCATTTGAGGTGAAAAACTTTTTCTGTAAAGATGCTCCAGCCAGCATCACCTGGTTCTGATTTTGGAAAATATCTCCAATTAAGCAGCTTTTGCTTTATGATTTTTAATCATAAAAAATTTATTAGGAGTGGTGGCCTTGTGTTTAGGGCATTGTGCTTGCAATCCAGAGGTTCCCCACTCCCACAGACTGCCACTCTGGGTCCCTGAGCTAAGACCCTTTACCTCCACACTGCTCCCCGGGCGCCACACAATGGCAGCCCACTGCTCCCCGAGGGGATGGGTTAAATGTAGAGAGTGAATTTCATTGTTCTCTACTTGTGACACAGTAATGACAACAAAAGCTGGAAAAAAAAAGATTAACTTAGTAAAATAACTGTTAGCTGTTTTATTAATCTGTTGTGTACGGACTAGAGATTGTTCCTTTATGGAGACATTCTGAGGTGGTTTGGGATGGCAAGTTCTGGTTCAGGAATGACTGATCTTTGATATGAAGCAGCGAATGTTTAGCAGTGTGGGAGCTTGTTCCTTTATAGTCGAGTCACACATTTTCAGGCCTGAATCCTCCTCCACTCAGTTTCATCTGCTGGTTCTGCTGGATCTTATCAAACTGGTCAGAGTGGGAAGCTGCAGCTGGACTCAGGGCAGATCAGTCTGCTGAGTCATGATTATACACCTGGAAAAGTTTGGCTCACACGTTGTTGTTTTTTTAACCTGTTCACTGCAGGTTTGTGTTCTTCCTGGATCCCTGCAACATCGATCTGGTTCAGAGGAAAATCAAGTCCATGGCTCTGTGCGTGTCTCTGTGTCCCACTGAGGAGCTGAAGACCTACCAGGATCTGAGGAGGTTCGCCATGATAAACGGTGAGCTCATCACACACAGCTGGGTCACGGCTGTTCGACCTGTAGAGGAGCAGAGAGATGGGCTGCAATCTGTGGAGGATGATGGTAAAGTGTAGTCAAAAGGTGAACGAAGGTTACTCTACGTTAACCAGAACCGCCTTCTCCTTCTGGGTTGTCATGGTGATTATGCTTAGTCCGAGCATCAGAACGTAAAGGAAACATCTGATTAGATGATTTCTCCAATAATGGTTCAGTTTGAGATCAAGTCATGTTTTTCACCTTTTCAAGAAGGTTTTCTACGTTTTATAACTTAAGATATTTTAGCTGATCCTCTTTATCTTCCAGTTACAGTGTAACTATTTAACTATTGTTGGTTAGAGCTTAAAATAGCAATAAAATGGCAGCTAAAGCAGCTTTCCAGTTTAAGAAATGTGTTTAATTTGTTTTAGAAATTCTAGCCAGGCAATTTAAAGTTACTTGTCTTTTTCAAGTAGTGTATTTTTTTTCAGTGTAGAGTAAGTTATTTTTTTTAACAGAGTTCAGAGATTCAGCTGACCTACGGTGGGATCTGAGCAGATATTGTCCCAGAGATGCATATTATCTCCCCAGGTTCAAACATGGAGCTCACCCCTTAGATGGTAGCTAGTCTGTAGGAGTCCAGAAGTAGACAGAGGTTGTTTTCCCTTAACCTGACTCCGCCAGATGGATTTGCTCCGCATATCCATCTGGAAACCTTTGGTTGAAGTAATTTTGGGAAGGGGCGAAAATACTGGTTAGCTGATTGGCCTATGTTGGTGATAGACGGCCAAATAAACCAATCAGATCAACGAAGCATTGGCGTACTAACAGCCAGGCTACTCTTGCCGAAACCAGTCAGGAGAAGAGCAAAAACATATTTTCCTCTGAGAAAAGCCTCCAGAACATTGTTTTGCTCTTCTTTCAGTGAAGAATTAATCTGTAATTCCGATAAAACTTGCTCAATAGCCACGCTAACGCTAGTTTCATCGGCTGAAGCTGCCATGTTCTTTAGACTGAACTGTCGCACTTCGCGTCACACCTCAACCCGCCTCAAAGCCAACGCTGATTAGATGTTCGTTTGGTGAACGGCTCCAAATTTTCTTCAACGGAGAGTCTCCAGACTGATTAGCGAGTGAAATCTTGAAAGCTCGCGATATCAGGATGATCTCACGAGGCTAGTTTTCCCTTGTTCTACCAGCAGATGTTAAGCTTTGGAAGCAGCTGGGGAGGAGTTCCTTTTATGGTGAACCTCTCCATCTTTACCAACACAGGTGAACTTATAGAAATAAGCACAGCATGTGTTGTCTGGCTGCTCAGGAGCTGACCTGAGAGCTCTGTCAGAGTGGTTTCGGGGTGTTTGGCAAAAAGTGTGCAGCCCCCAAAACATTTTATGAACACTACCCAGCAGGGATGGGATGAGAAAATGGAAAGTTCTCGGCCTGATTAAATTCCATGGGAATTCTGCCCATTCCACTTTGGGAGCATTGATGAGGCCTGAAACTGATGTTTGGTGAGAAGCCTTGGCCCTCACTCTCAGTTCTAATTCATCCCAATGCATTCCCTCCTCCAGACCTTAATGGACTTTACTATTTCCACTGATTCCGGTCATGAAGGAGGAGGAAATGGTCCAAAATGTCTAGGTCTGTTGATGCCGTAGGTGTCCATTTTACAGGAACAGAGGAGGAGAACCTTGCTGCTGAAAATAAAGCCCCATAGCACATAGCATGTGCAAAAATCAGCATGAATGTAACAACTTATTGAGGGTGTTGGGAACAGTGATGGTTATAAAGTCTTACAGCTGCTGGGAGGAAGGATCTGTGATGACGCTCCCTTGTACATTTAGGATGAAGCAGTCTGTCACTGAAGGAGCAATATGCAAACTATCAGAGTGAACCAGTGAGACGTTCCTTTGATTCACCTGCAGCTATGGTAAAGCTGTGTTTTATCCATCATTATCATTTTATTTACACCATTTATCCGCAAACCATCAGGCTCATTAAAATTCAGCACGCGGTCCTAAAACAATGTCAGTTTGACGACTTTCAGTGTTCCTTCAGTGATAAAGTCTATAATCGACTTTTTTCTCTAATTAAATGTAACACAATGATTGGAACAGAGTAGAAAAGACCTGAAGTTGTAATGATGATGAAGGTGATGATGATGAGCTCTTCCTGTTTCCTTCTTCAGGCTCTGAGCTCTGCTCCTACGAATTGCCAGCCCACGATTACCCGGCTCAAACTGAACGGTTCTCCAGGTGTCCAAAACTTCCCGTCCCTCGCAGGTATGTGTCGCCTCTAACCGAGCCATGAAGGGACAACGTTGCTCTCTGCTGACCTGTGACCTCTGACCCCTGTGTTTCTCAGTAAGCCGCTGCCGGTATTTAACCGCTGCACGCCGGTGGACGTCTCCTGCTACGCCAAGTTCGCTGAGGCTGTGGTGACATTCGTGGGGGACAGCAGCGTCCTGCACCGACTCATCGCCGGCGTTGCAGCCAGCAAGGAGATCATCATTGGACTCTGTGTTCTTGCTTTAGGTGAGAGCTGACAGAAAGCTGTGATGTCACTTCCTGTATGCTGAGACTGGACACTCACTGCTGTCCCATGTCTGTTAGCTCTCTCCATGATCCTCATGGTGATCATCCGGTACATATCCGCTGTCCTGGTCTGGATCCTCACCTCGCTGGTGGTCCTGGGATCCCTGGGTGAGGTCACTTCCTTTGTGATGTTTGGAAGTGGTTTTCAGAGGTTTAACCATAGGCTGTGTATTTTTCTCAGCGGGGACAAGTGTCCTCTGGTGGCTATACATCGATTACCGGCTGTATGGGAACGACACGTCCTCCAAGGTGCTGAAGGATCTGAAGGAGGAACCGAAGGAGGAGCTGAGAGACAGTGGTCAGGCACTGCTCGTATACGCCGCCTCAGCCACCGTCTTCACCGTAAGTGCGACGCCGTGACCCACATTCTTGCGGACATGTAAGAGTGGCCTTCAGTGTTTCTGTCTGTGTGCAGATCATCCTCCTGCTGCTGATGCTCTTCATGAGGAAACGAGTGGCGCTCACCATCGCACTGTTCCACGTCGCGGGAAAGGTCTTCATCCACCTCCCTCTGCTCACCCTACAGCCCTTCGTCACCTTTCTCGCCCTCCTGCTCTTTTGGATCTACTGGATCCTGGTGCTGCTCTTCCTGGGAACCACAGGTTGGAGACGGAGCACACAAACTCAACTGAAACGAACATGCAAATGTTAAAATCAGATGCTGTCGATTTATAACAGTTAACACAGATCTGAATGGATGTGAACCAAATTAGAATGCAACAGAATCCTTACTTGTTGGCTTTCCTCCAGCTCCTGTTATTGTTGCTATCGTTATTATAGCCGTGTCTGTTTACCTCTGCTCAGAACCATTTTGTCATACATGGCCACTCTTTCTGTAAATACAGAATCATAATGATAGAACAGAGCTGAGGTGTAAACACCTCCAGTATGGTAGCAGAACCATACTGAGGGATTTTTTTCCTGCCCTGGTCTGACATGCTGGGTAGAAACAACATCCATCCGAGAGACTTCTGCTGGCCTAGCAGAACACAAAAAAAAAAAATTGGTGATCCCTATTTCCAATGTTCATGTGGACTTTCCAGAGAAGTGTGTGTTGCATTCCAGAACCATTTGTTTCAGAACCAGAGCATCAGCCCTGCAGTCAGACATGGTGGTGGTAGAATGAGTGCAGGGGCTGCTTTGCTGCTCCAGAAGGAGAATGTCTGGTTATTAGTTTTGGATACTAACCAGAAGCAAAAAGTTGGGTTCTGCTGCAGAACAATGATAACCTTTTTTAACTCGGCACGAGTTTTCATAATCAGCTGAAGGGAGGAACCAGCAGGTTGTTTACGGGGTGAATACTTTTTCGGGCTGGGTACGGTTGGCTGGAATGCTTTAAAATCTGCTTCTGCTCTTCCTGCAGACACCCTTTAGTGGCATCAGAGGGGCTGACCCTGCTGGCCAACAACCAGAACATCACAGGTTTCTGTTCTGATGTTTTGCAGGGAACCCGGAGCAGAACGAGGAGACGGGGCTGACAGAGTTCAGGCTGACGGGCTCCCTGCAGTACCTCACCTGGTACCACGCTGTGGGTCTGGTCTGGATCAGTGAGTTCATCCTAGCCTGTCAGCAGATGACTGTGGCCGGCGCCGTGGTCACCTACTATTTCACAAGGTGGGTCTATATAGAGCCAATGCTTCACCCATCCGGAGCCCGGTAGAATCCCGTACCAAAGATGGACCAGACTAATATCTGCTCCAGACCTTTTTTAAAATCTTTGTCTTCCAGGGATAAAAACCGGCTCCCAGTGACCCCGATCCTATCCTCGGTTCTGAGGCTGGTCCGGTACCACCTGGGTACTGTTGCTAAGGGATCCTTCATCATAACACTGGTCAAGATCCCCCGACTCATCCTCATGTACATCCATAATCAGCTGAAAGGACGGGTACGGAGAACTTTTACCAGGAACCGGTTCCCATTCTGTTCCTTTTGGCCCCAGTAGATCATGTGACCTATGGGTTGTTTATAGGAGAACGTGTGCGCTCGCTGTCTGCTGAAATCCTGCATCTGCTGCCTGTGGTGTTTGGAGAAGTGCCTCAACTATCTCAACCAGGTAAAGGACCCGTAGGACCCAGCAGTTCAGTCGGACCCTTAGCACCTCCATCCCTCCGGGTCTCCTACATTTCTTTTATCTTTCCCAGAATGCATATGCAGCCACAGCCATCAACAGCACAAGTTTCTGCACGTCTGCACGTGACGCCTTTGTCATCCTGGTGGAAAACGCTCTCCGAGTCGCCACAATCAATGCGGTCGGAGACTTTGTGCTGTTCTTGGGGAAGGTGAGGCCTTTCTTCCCACGGGGCTACAACTGGTTCTTTTTACCTGTTTTTAGCAGAATACAAAACTGTGGTCTTCATAGAGACCTTTAAACTTTCCAATGACAACACAAGTGTTTCAAGAACCTTTTAGAAAGTCTTTATAAAATGTTCCCTAGCTTGGACTCTGATCTGTGTTGCTGTGCACGCATCTCCTCAGGTGCTGATCATGACGTGCACTGCATTCGCGGGCGTCCTGCTACTGAACTATCAGCGGGACTACGCCGAGTGGCTGCTGCCGCTCATCATAGTCTGTCTGTTCTCCTTCCTGGTGGCTCACTGCTTCCTGTCTATCTTCGAGATTGTGGTGGATGTCCTCTTCCTGTGCTTCGCCATCGACACAAAATACAACGACGGCACTCCGGGGAAGGAGTTCTTCATGGATAAAGCTCTGATGGTGAGCAGGGCCTGACCCGATTCCAGCCCAGAAACCTTTGTTAATCACAATCAGTCAAAGTTCTGCAGATCTGAGACCTGACGGGTAATAAATATCAGTCTGAAGTAAGGGACTGCACAGAAGTCCACGTTTGGTTCTGTGTGATTTTTGTGGTTCCAATCTTAATGTGAAATGCTGCAGAAATATGTTGGCAATTCAGAATCGGAAAGCATGGTATTTGGACTGTTCTGTCGAGGTTACGAAACAGAACCAGATCCAGAGCATCAGCATTTTACTGTCATTGCTTTCCAACAGTAAGACACGCCCCCTTGGTATTATTTATCCAATCGGGATCAGTAGGTCCTATCTAGTTTTGCTGAAGTTCTGTCCAGGTTTTGACCATTATATATTCACCTTACTCACATTCCATGTCAAAATAATTACGCGTCTGACTATTTTTTTTCTTTTTGCGGCACCATTTCACTGCTTCCTTGGACTACTTAACATAAGCTTAAAAGATGTAGGCATTTGGTCACCAAATGGCTCGATTTACCCAAGATTCCAAAATCAGATATTGGTAATTATTGTAGCAGAAGACACCTGGTGAAAAGCTGAGGGAGAGTTTTGCAGTGGCGGCGTTTTGTTTATGATCTGATTTAGCTGCTTGTGGTTTTAAAGGTGTTAATGGAAGTGAATCGTTACCATATTTCAAATGAAAAAGCATTTCCAGAAATGCTTTTTCATTTTAATGTGGCTGCATTACTTGACTCATAAATTAAATTAGTAATCAATCATCCTATTTGCATTTTCTTCTTTAAGACTGCACATTTTATGCCATGATCAAAGAGAAAACACAGCAGACATTGCTTTTTCGTTTTCATGGTCTGCCTGCAAAGTACTGTCCATAACTCAAAAACGAAAAAGCATTCTGAGCGGCGGGTGAAGCAGAGTGACGTGTTTTATGTGTTTTCTGAAGTTTGTGCCCAGCTTGTGACACACCTCACCTGTCTGTTTTGGCTCCACCCCTGCAGGAGTTCGTGGAGAGCAGTCGGCGATTGGAGCGTTCAGGGGGACGTGGGCGGAGCCGGGTGAAAGAGGCGCCTTCGGAGGGGGCGGAGATGAAGCCCATGGTGAGTGAATGCAGTGCTGGAGGGGGCGTGGCCAGGCGGCAAAGCTTGTCAGGGGTGGGGACAGGGCCACAGTGGGCCGAGGGCGGGGAGTGGGAGGAGCTTCAGGAGTTCCAGGTGTACTACCTGCTGGTGGGGGTGCTGGTGGACTGGGTTCTCACAGAGCAGAGCGACTTTGTCCTCTGCCTCAGCGAGGATGTGGTTCTATTCCTCTGCGTCTGCCTGCCCACCTCCACCCTCTTCCTGTTTGTCAGCCTGCTGCACACGCCAAGCCCCGCCCCCTTCGCCAAGTCTGCCTCTAAATCAGCCGCCATCACCTCCACGTGCTAACACCAGACTAACTGATGAACTGTTGGCTGGAAGAACACTAATGCATGCCCCATCATCACCATCACCATCATCATGCGAGCTGCTTGTTCTTTCCGGAACCAAAATCAGACTTTATGTTTCATTATAATTTTTTTTTTGGTTTTTACTTTTGTACTTTTTTAATGGAGAATATTTTTATAAAGAACTTCCAGCAGCTCTGTGTGCGAGTCTCTGTGTTCACCTTGTTTTTTGTCACCATGTTGCTTTAAAACCAACCAGGACCCAGCAGATAGCAGCAGCTAAAAGCTGCAGAAATCCTTCAGTCATTCTCTCTAGCAGGAAACAACAAGACCTTTCTCACCTGATGCTTTGGTCGCCAGATAATTGGAGTCCTTTTCTTTGCATTTGGGCATCAAACAGTTGGTACTGTTCCATCCTTTACAAATAATCTGGACCATAGTCTGAGTCAGACTCAGGTAGGAATTTTGCCTTCATCAAAGGCAGAGGTTTTCCATCATAGTTAATAGTGCAGTTATTATTATTTCAAGAGAAAATACCATGAAAATTATAAAAATGTATGAAACATTGTAGAGACAGAGTATTTGGACACATGACAGTTTGCAGCACAATCATTTAAAATATAGATACTGATCACTGATCTCTATTTATTCCTGGATTGCTGATAGACCGAAATAAACGGAAGTCACCTGCCGCCATCTTGGTACTCCCTACTTTCACGGCTTCACAACATAAAAATGCCTGTAATGTATTTACCATAGCAATGTAATCAATACATGTATACAGTGGTTGAGTTGTTAAAAAAAAGAAGGGGGATGGTGGAATTTTTTTTGGATGCATACATTGCCTAATAAATATAGTCTGTTAACCTAAAGCAATATGCATTGTATGGTTGGTTGTTACATGTCAGGTACGCCGGTCATTGACCATCATCAAGGCACCTTAAAATAGAACTGCAGTCAGGTATTCTTAATATCCGACTAAAGTATTATTATGCTCCATTAACAATCAAATTTTTTTTATAGATTTGTATAATATGTTATATTACATGTCTTATAGACTTCATGGACTTCATAATGACTATGCAATGTGATGTGCCTATTTTTTGCCATAAATTGCAGTGGTCTACAGATACTATGACACAGCAAGTGTGTTTCACAGTAATGAATTTGTCTTTATTTTAAAAGTCTTAATTTCCCCCTAAAAATGAGAACATTATCATTCGTTGCTGTAGCGCATCTATTGTTTACATTCTGACTGGTCTAACTAGGCAGTACCAATATGGCGGCTGGTGACTTCACAGCACCGTGTACTGCCAATGGCCTATCAGCAATCCAGTTAATAAATCCAGTTAATAAATAGAGATCAGTGGTTCAGATTAATTGAACTAATTGTCTGACAAGAGGACAGAAGACCGATCAGAAGAGACCCATACCTGCTGCCAGAACAATGAACTGAGTACAGTTACTGAAAGGCCTGGTTGAGGTAACAAAGGATTCCCAAAACAGATGAACTTTTGTAAGAGAGAGACCCATAGGTAGTCACCCAGATATTACAGCAGATAAGGAAAACCTACCAGGCAGGAAAAGGAAGGAGACTCCCCTAGAGTCTTCTTAAAGTTTCTACCTTTTTTTTTAATCTGAGCTGCGGCTCAAAAGCAAAGGTGACCTTTAACCACTTTGAAGCTAGAAGTCTGGATTAACTGATGAAGGTAACGACCATTGCCTTAAATCTTAATCCCAACCAGATTCTGGTCTGCAGAAACTACTTCAAGGTGTTCGATTTTGTTTTATTTAATTACGGCCAGAAGCATGTTATCTGCTGGGTCCTCTGAGGAATCATTTTGAACTTTCTGAGAAGAGTCATCAACCCAATACAAAAATTAAACGAAACAAACCCTTTGATGCTTAAAACCTCTGAACAGTAACCAGTGTTTCTATGACCAGAGTGATGTTTAAGCATGTTAATGTCTCCTATCAGTTGGACTCTAAGGGGCGTGGCTTACAGATCGTCTCTGATTGGCTAAACACTTGTTCATCTGTTTTATTCACAAAGTTTGAGTTTCTCTGTTGGTTTGTTTTAGAGCTGAACTCTTGTAGGAAGATCCATCCTCTTTATACAACAACAGAAAAAAAACCTCTGGATGATTCAGGAAATTTTCCAGATTTATGAATCCCAAAATATACCAGAAACATTTTGATAATAAGCTCTGCTCTCTAACCAAACTCTGTCCAACTGATTGTGTAATTTGCTGGTTGACGACTTTTGTTACATATTAGTGTCATACCGTTGAATTTAACAAAGTAGTCAAAGGCTTTAATAATTAGTGGGTTTATTAGCCAACTTACACACTGAAAGATGACCCATCTAAACAGTTTTAATGCAGCTGGTTAACCAGTATGCGTTAACAGGATTCTTAACAGGATCATTAATAACCTTAACATGCTGCTCAGCTGTATTCCTAACAAGCTGGTTAATGGGATTGATAACCAGCTGGTTAACGAGTCATGTAATTTGCTGTGCTGAGCAAAGGATTTTAACCATTTCCACGTTTACGTTTCAGGCTCCAGGGACCAGTTCAGCTTGACCAAAATCAGCCACTGGGACTTGTTAAAGAGACATTCCAGATGTTTATTTTTACCAACGTGTAACATGTTTACTATGGTTTCACTCCAGGGAAAACAATATTTTAATAAGAAACTGGAAAAAAAAAACAACGTAACAATGTAATGAAGCACTTTATCTGGAAGCGCTGCAGATTTTAAAACCGGCTGATGCATTTTTTTGTAGTGATGTCCTTTTTTATAAAACTCACCGCTCAGTTCCTAACGCCGTCCGGACACCTTACCTAACATTTCTGGTGGAGCTGACTCCTCACCTGGACTCCCAATTAAGGGGCGGGGCCTGTGGACAGGTAGAGCAGCAGCTGATTGTGCCCTCCAGGGCTGTCGCCATGGACACGCAATGGCCAATAGGTCAGGAATCTGATTGGCTCTCGGATTGGTGACACGATGCTGGCCGCTGCACCTACGAAGGGGAGATCACGTGATCATCAAGGAAGCCTTTACCTTAACAGAAAAGCGAAGGTGGTTCTGCTTGTGGAGGAACATCTGCATCCTTGGCTCTGAACGGAGAAAGGCGATGTGTGGGCGGAGCTTCCTGCAGCAGTGGCAGCTGAATTCAGACGGTCAGCAATAACACCTGAACGAGTCTTCCTGCTTCTGTTCATCCAGTCTGACTGAGTAGGGCATCCGTCAGATCTCAACATCCTCCCTGGCCTCTTGGTGTGACACTGCATTTCGGAGTAGGGGTGGGGTCGACCCTCTGGACTGTGTTCCGCTGAGCTGTTAGATGTTGTTAGACCGTTTGTAGCATCAGTTTGTAACAGCCTGAAATCTCTTTCAGAAATACGTTCACCTCCGACGTCATCCTGAGTCCTAACCCTCCGGCTAGTTCAGCCGAATCTCTTCTGACTGGAGGAAAACCGCTCCATTAACCAGTCAGCTGGTTCTCACATGGCAGAGGTGGAGTCAGAACAAAGCACCCTGGCGTTGGCTTCTTGGAATATTATGAACCTTATCAGTGGATATGAGGACCGATTTCTGAGACATTTTCCCATCATGCACCTCTATCAGGGAACCTGAACGGGGAGCTGTTCTACAGTGTCCGGATTGATCCGTAGAGCCGAGCCGCGCATGTCAACTAATTGCACTAAAGATGGAGTTCCTGCAACACTAACCGAGCTGTTGAGTTTTAGATTAAACGTGTTTGTAGCTCAGAAATTAATTCACTTCATGTTAAAAAAAAAAAAATCCCCAAACTAGAAGAAGAATAAATCCTGCTGCTCCGACGTGTTTATTTCTGGTCATGTGACTGCTGTCGCCGGGCAAATTAGCTGCAGGAGCTGAGGAGTTTCTCTCCAACATCGGCATCACCTGATTGTAAAAAAGCACAGAAATCACCAGGATCAGGAAGACGAACAGGAGAACCTTGTAGGGATACGATCAGAGGTCTCTAAACATTTCAGAATAAAACTGGAAGTCATCAAGATATGAAGTTTGTTTTTATCTAATCAGATTATTTAAAGGGAATTAAAACCTTATATTTATATGAAATATATTGATTCAATGCATCATAACGTGAGTTTTTAATTTATCTTTCTGGCTGAGAAATCCAGAAAGACCTTATTGCTGTTCAAGGAGTTTAAACTGGTCCCACATTCCTTAACTGGGTCTAGTCTAGGTTCTAAGTGAACCATTTAACCTGTTTTACAAGTATTTCCAAGCCATCAGAGATAACAACTACTAGATTTATTGTTGGATAAACTCCTGATTTGACTGCTGTTCAAAGATTTAAACTAAGTTCTGTGAAACAGACCAAACTTAAGCAGAAACCAACTTCTTCTCTATAGCTAATAAAACCCAACATGGAAAAGGTTTCATGCTCAAATGAAGAAGCTGTAATTTTGAGATTTTAAGAACCCTGTCAGGAGTAAAAGCATCAAAGACCAGATTCAGTAAGAAATGTTCTGCGTTTTGAGATGTTTCTGGGCGAATCAAACCTCTGGAGAAGGGATCCTGTTTCTGTTGAAGGAAAACTCTTCAGCCTCCATCCTACCAATCAGAGCACAGGCTCCTCCCACTGAAGGTAAGTGAGGGTCAGAGAAGCTCTGGTCAGGTTCTGATCCAGAGCCAATAAGCTCTCTGGTTCATCTCAGAGTGAAGTTTTATTGGTGAGAAACATCTGCAGTGACCTTCAGCAGGAGACCAGCTGAGGCTTCCTGCTCGTCTCCTGCAGATGTTCCTTAACTTCCCTCTGAAATTCCAACCTCTCTCGGAGCTTCTGCACTGAGATTTCAGAGCGCTGGACCAGAGCGTCTCTGACTCTTCACCACCAGGTTTCGCCGACTGTTTGCAGCTGATGCATGTTCTGGAGGCTGCTCCTGAACTCAGAGATTAACCGGCAGGTGTGACACTAGTGTTTAGCTTTTCTCTGCAGTAACCAGTCGTTTGTAACACTGAAGAACTTTGCTTTGGTTCTCTGTTGGTTTTTATATCATTTCTTATGTATCTTTGTTTTATAAGAAAATTATTAAAAGCAGAATTTCAGTCTGTGTTTGTGGTCTTTGTTCAAGCTGCAGAAAAACATGCTTTTTTTCCCAAGCTTCTCTGACCTTGAGATGTTCTAAGAGCTAGTTTATTACCAGAGATCCATGGAGCCTGATGGAGAGCATAATTTAAGGTAAACAGTTGCTGACTGATAACAGGAAGCTGTCCTTCCAACTGCTTCAAGCTGCTGGAGCAGAGATAAAGGAGAGATGGGGAGTTTGTTGGTTTTACTGGAGGTAAGAGGACCACCATCTTTACTTAGATGCTTTATAGGCTAAAATTTGGTTAAATCTGTTGATACAAACTGATGTGATGGTCTTTAAATTATGAATTGGTTAGAGGAGTCAGTTTGTCCTGCAGCAGCAGACTGGGACAGAACAGAAGACCACCAAATGCAAAAAAAGAAATCCATGACTTGTTTTTCACCAGGTAAACCAATATAACAACTCAAAATTCAGAAATAAACAAACATTCAAAAACAAATCAGTGACCAATATAGCCACCTTTCTTCACCATGACGGTCAAAAGCCTTCAATCCATAGATTCTGTCAGTGTCTTGATCTGTTTGCGATCCACATTGCGTGCAGCAGCCACCACAGCCTCCCAGACACTGTTCAGAGAGGTGGACTGTTTTCCCTTCCTGTAGATCTAATATTTCATGAAGGACCAGAAACTGGCAGTAGGTCTGGGAGTTGATCTTGACTCCATCATCAACCCGAAAAGGTCCCACAAGCTCATCTTTGATTATACCAGCCCATACCAGTACTGCACCTCCACCTTGCTGGTGTCTGAGTCGATAAAGAACTTGCTTCCCTTTACTGATCCAGACTGATGCCCATCCATCTGGCCCATCAAGACTCACTCTCATTTCTTCAGACCAAAACTCCTTGGAGAAATCAGTCTTCAGATATTTCTTGGCCCAATCTTGACGTTTTGTCTTGTGTGTCTTGTTCAAAGGTGGCCTTTTTTCGGCTTTCCTTACCTTGACCAGGTCCCTGAGTATTGAGCACCTGGTGCTTCTCGGCACTCCAGACATGTTGAAGCTATGAAATACGGCACAACTGGTGGCTAATGGCTTCCTGAAAGCTTCACGCTTGATCTTCCTTAATTCATGGGAAGTTATTTTGCATCTTTTTTCCAACACCCTTCTTGTGCCCCTGTTGGCTATTTGCCATGAACCGATTGTGCGATTATCCCGCTTCAAAAACTCTGTAATTTCCAAACTGCTACACCCCTCTAAAAGACATCTGACAATTTTTGACTTTTCATTGTCTGTCAAATCTCTTTTCTGACCCATTTTGCTAAAGGAAAGGAAGTTGCCTAATAATAAGGCACACCTTATAAAGGGTGTTGATGTCATTAGGCCACACCCCTTCTCTTTACAGAGATGCCCACCACCTGATTTACTTAATTGGTAGTTGGCTTTCAAGCCTATACAGCTTGGAGTAGCACAACATGTAAGAAAAGGATGAAGTGGTTGAAATACTAATTTGCCTAATAATTGCACACAGTGTATATTTATCCCCCTGGCTCCTTCGGAAACACCCAATGAAACATGTAGTGAGCTTTTATAACTGTTAAGAATCAACCTGGAAAAAACAAAAACAACAACCTTGAATGTTGACACATAATCTTCTGGATTCAATAAAGTAAAACAAACAAATTCAGCAGAGATTTTAGCTTTAAGAACATTTATGTTGAAATGAAGACAGACAGAAACAGGTCTTCACACGTTACAGTCGTCATGCTACTGAAAAAATATACACAAAGACCCTGCAGAGAATGTACTACAGAAGCACCGGATCAACCTGAACAAAACCCATCTACAGGAGCCAAAATTTGTAGTGTTTATTCACTAGATGGCGCTATTGGTGCTAGCATCTAGAACAGGGGTAACCAATTAAATATCAGCAGGGCCTGAATAAAGAAAATCAACAACCAGTAAAGGTCTGGAGACATTATTAATTACAATTCGTTACTTTAAACAGCATTTCACACTGAACTAAAATTAGGTGTTAATGCATCAATGTTATACATTCACCTTTTAAATAAAAAATATATATATATAAAAAAAAAGAAAATTTTTCCATTTTAAAATCAAAAGTGTTTTTTGAAGTAGAGAACAACAATCTTTCAGTTTATTATATAGACAATTTAAATATTTAAATATTTAATAAAATACCTGAACTGACAGTTTTTTTTTTCCTTTCGTTTTTATGGTTTAATGAGAGAAGTGGTCTTTATGCTGTCCTGCAAGGCTTTTAAACCTGGGTTTGAATGGCAACAAAGCCATTCTAAAGCACATATCAAGGTGCTCATTTTGACCGTGGATCTATATTTATTTTTGATTATGGTCATGTTGCAGAATCCTGCTTCACAGCAGTGGGTTGAGCCAAACATACTCAAAATGTGCAGGGACATCTTTCAGCACACCATTTCACTTTTCTTC